TAGTAGCCTGCGTAGCTATCGTTCCTGTACGACCGAAGAGCTTTTTCCGCGAACGAAGAGCATTTTCTGCATTCTGGCCGCGTGAAATTGGGGCGAGAGCAAAACGTTGGAGGGGGGGGGGGGGGGGGGGAGTACAGGAACGCTTGCTACGCAGGCTAATTGCTAGCTGGTCGTGTAGCACTTATGATGGAATTAACCATTTCCCTTTTGCTGTCAAACTATGAATCGTGTAAAGCCAAACAAGAGCGGGAGTTCATAAGAATTCAAACTCTCGCTCTCGTTTGGCCCGAAACATTCATGCGCTCTCGGCGATTCTTAGGCTGCAAGCAGTCTATTTTACGGACCTAGGCGATTCTCGTCGACGCTCGTGAGCTCACATCGAATTCAACCTGCTCCGCAAAATTTTTCTTGAAAGTCGTCGAGAGTTTTCTCTCGTCTGGCCCGGGCTGATGATAGTTGAATAAAATTCTGGCGTAACACTCATCCTTCAACTCTCGGTGGCCTATCGTTCTCGTTTGGCCCGGCTTAATGTGGATTTAACTTTTAGGTCTGTTACTGAAATCTTAAAGGAGCTATGTCACGATATTTTAAGCCATTTTTGGCAAGTGCAAAATCACCTTCAAATTGAAGGAACCCTCAAAATAATAGTTTACTAAGGTAGAAAAACACCAAAGAGGTGATAATAAACCAAACAGGAACAAGGATGGTTGAGGATGGAGAAGATTAAGACGGATTGCGAACGGTGAACTTGAAAAAATTGGCATTTTTTTTCAAGATGTGCCATCCGTGACGTAGCTCCTTTAAAATTAATTTACATCCTAGCTAAGATGTACATTAATCTCGTCTCTCTTTTTTCCAGATTGAACGTTTCAACGCCTTATTGCGAATCATCAAAGCGTCCCTTATCGACCTGGAGAAGGGAATCAAAGGTCTTGTTGTCATGTCGTCCGATTTGGAAGAGACATTTCATTGTATCTTCGATGCCAAAGTTCCACCTCTCTGGGGCAAGGTGAGGGTTTTTATGCAACTGACTTGGATCCTTATCCTGAGCATTAACAACCCTAGCCTGCGAATACAGTCGCCTCTCGACTCCACCGCGATCAAACGTCAAACAAAAATAGACTACGCAGACAAACCTCATGTTTACACCGTGTTTTAAACACGTCTAACTTTTTTGGTAAACATCCAAACAAAATGGCAATCAACAGAATGCTGGAAATATACTGAACTTTGTGTTTGAAAACTCTAAACTTTTCCTTTTACATACTTTTGTTTCCTTTCGCAAATTACTATCAAGGTTTTGATTTCGGGTTGTTGCAATGGTTTTCCTTCAAAAATTTTCGCGGGAAATTGGCGCGCGGGCGACCAGAATTTATGCCTTTGCGCATGCTTGAGCGTTTGACCGCGGTGAACCTCTCGACTTATCGCTCCCGGCCGCTTGGGGCGTAATCGAATCTACTTTATAAAATGAAGGAAACAGTTGCGCAAGGGAATGTTACATTTACAAATCATTCGCGCGTCTTGTAGCAATTTTATGCTGTACTTAGATGTATTTGGATTTGAACGTTATCTTTCTATCGTCAGGTATTAGGATAGTTCTGACATCGCGAGTCAAACTGAGTGGGTCTAGATAATCGTGGGAGGTGCGGTGGTTTAATGGTTAGCGCGTTGAACTCTGGATCGAGAGGTCCGGGTTCGAGCCCTGGCCGGGGTCAATGTGTTGTGTTCTTGAGCAAGACACGTAACTCTCACCCAGGGTACCGGCTAACTGTTAGGGAAACCTGACAAAATGCGCGACGGAGAGGGAGTGACAATACTCCTACTGTCGGCTTCATGCTACGGAATCCGGGATAAGCTCCTGCAGTGTGGTCCAGTTTGACCCGAGTGCAGCTTTACTTTTATCTAGATAACTGCAAGATGCTTAAGAAAAATATCAATTCCTCGCCCTTCGGTGTCGCCGTCGTGGTTGCTAATTAATTTTTAATTTTTTTAATTTTTAAATAAATATTAATTAATTACAAAAAGGTTACAACACTGAGTTACACTAAATGGCACAACGGCACTATACAACTCTACGCTAAAAATCTACACTACACAATAAATTAGCCTAGACAACACACACTAAGCTACACTGTAGACGGACACTAAAACCTGCAGGAAAAAACAAAATATTCGATACTTGAGGAGACGACAGCTACTGATCTATTAAATGGAGTAGAGTTTCCCATTTCTTGTTATGTAATTGTAATTTATTTTTCTTTCTCGCAATGAAACGTTCAATTTGATATGTTTTCTTAAATTTCTGAAGCAATAGCATAAGAGAATGATTAATAGGCCAATTTCGATATATTAACATTCTAACTTGGTTCCGAGGCTTAGGGGAATCAACAAATAAAATTATTTATTTCATCCCTCAACCTCGATGTGATTTCTTTCACAGATTTCGATGTGTTTTATTCCCCTAAGCCTCGGAGCCAAAGTTAGAATTTTAATATATCGAAATTGGCCTATTAATGATCATTTGAACGATCTTTTCCAGACTTACACTCGCGACCCTGAGCACAACCGTCTGCGGTAACTGGACACGTGACCTGGTGATGCGTTGTGCGACCAGTTTGCCAAGTGGGCGACCACCAGCCTCACCAACCTGTTTATATTCGTGGATGTCTGGCTTTACCTTCGCCGACAGGCAGTATCCTGACCGCCGTCCTGGCAGACATGCGCACGGACAGAACAACGTGTTCGATAGACTCGCTTTCGTGGGAGTTCAGTTGTGTCAACTGTGGATGGACCCAAGCCCAACATTAACGCAGCAACCTGAAGGTAGGAAGAGATAATTAGGAACAGAGGTTAGATCTAAAAATAAGCAGATTTAAAAAATAGCCTAGATGCAACCTCGTATCGCCAGGGTCAATCATCATATTTGATCCTAGAAACGGTTGGTCAAGTGTAGCGAATACGATCGATCGCGTGGTCACGTGACAGAATACTCCACGATTCGTGGAGGTATTTCGCCAGCGTGTCCCCAGGGTCTTTCTCGCGCGCACAGCCGGCCATCTTGAAAGCGGAGTAGAACCCTGGGAAACGAAGTTGGCCAAGATGCGAATCTGATGTCCGGCGCCCGCAAGTTGTCTAGATGGAAAACCTCTAGTTATAGACCTCATGTTAGGAATGAATTTTTCAATATACGGAGGATACACGTGATGTTTTTGGCAAATCTTCGTTGAAAGTTACTCGGGGTGTTCCCGATTCTTGTTTTATCAATCCAATCAAAAAATAGCGCGAACACTCACGAAATACTTCCAAAAACAGTCACTACCGGTCAACCATGGCGCAACGAGGATATGTCATTGCTTTCTGACGACGAAGAATACGTGGGCTCGGTTAATTCTAAGATATCATCGCTATCAACTGGTACTTGTTTCCCCCGACTATATATACACACGGGGAAAAGAACGTACATTTTTTTTCAAGTTTCGCCATATTGCAATCCGTCTTAATCTCTCCATCCTCAGGCCATCCTTGTTCCTGTTTGGTTTATTCATAACCTCTTTGCTGTTTTTTCTACCTTTGTAAAGTAGTTATTTTTGAGGCTTTCTTGTCAATTTGAAGGTGATTTTGCACTTTTCGCAAAAGTGACGTAAAAATAATCGTGACATAGCTCCTTTGGACACAATGCGATCCGGAGTCCAACACGCTAACCATTAGGGTCACCCTGCGTCTGTTTTTAACCTTATCCTACACAGAATTAACTAGAAATAAATAACCAACATGGTGTAAGGCGTTTCTAAACCACAACACAGAAAATCAACAAAGAGTTTGCGCTTCTGTATTCATTTTCATGCAGGATGGCGTGGTGGATCCGTTGGGGCCTGTTTTTAGAGGGAGTCTGGCTGGGGACAGAGAAAGAATGGCGTGGCTTATAGAAGCAGAGCCTGCATGCAACTCGTCGAGCGCCATGTCCCACAATTCATTTCAAGCCTGTTGAGAACAAGAAGAAAAGTGGAAAAGGTACGATTCATATCCTCACACCTTGTTAATTATTATGAAGTGTACATTAGATACACTGCGTTGTTGATGTAAAGTCCGGGCAAAACAAGGAATGGGATGAGAGTTGGCTCTCAAGAGAGTTTTTTCTAGAACTTTCATCGATGATTCATCACCTTTCGGGCCAAACGAGAGGAAACTCTCGACGACTCTTGATCGTCGTGATTCACGTTCTTCCTAATCAAAACCCACGTAATATGTGACATTTCACGTTTGTGGTTTGGCAGAGGACGGCTAAGAAATGTACCAAGATGTATAACGCACGTGCAGAGACTATTGTACTGCTCATTGAACGTCTTGTTTAGCGACTGTTTCATTGACGTAAGTCGGTCTTGTACGTCAATATTGTAGGCATGGAATTGTTTCACTGATATGTAAACAGTATGCGGGAAGATGTTCAGCACCTCCTGTTTATATGGCTCTTTTAACCCTTTCTTCTCTCCTCATACCAAGAGTGGTTAAAAAATTGACCAAAAATCCCAAATTTCCTAGTTGAACCAATCCATAAAAACACTACCACATAGAAGTAACTGACTCAATAGCTTTCCATTTGAATGGTCACAACACTATGGCGTTTTCATCTTACAGACTACAAAAGTTAGAACCCACCTGTGTACAGCATAAACAAACAGTACCTACATGAAAGTACTGCTCAATAGCCTTCATTTCGAATGGTCACACACTAGATTTTCATCCACAGGACAGTTTTGTGGACTCTGAGGAGTAAAAGGGTTAACAATTTCCTTTGTGTGTCATTATCAGGTGTATAACGCATGTCCATGTTATTACTACCCTAACCGATCCGGCACCCTCTTGGCCGAGCGGTGTCTTTGTTGTGGCGGTGGACCTAAAGGCGGGGAGCTATGACGTCAGGACCACTGGATCAAGCGGCCGGCACAGCGATTCTAATGAGTGCTTGAATACTAGATCGAGCGTTATTCGACAAAACTCGCGTGTACTGCGTGTAATTAGAATATTGTTGATGAATGCAATATGGAAAGGAAAAATACAACGCCAAAAAACCGAAAAAAATGCGTAAACTGTTCTTTATGTCTAATATTGCTATTTGTAGCATTTGTTTGTAGATTATTGTTATTGAAAATTTTCAAAATGTTCTTTGTAAGTAAACCAAAAGCCCCCTTTTTTTCTTTTTCTATTCGCTTAGTCTTATTACGTGGCCTTTATAAAGGTTCTAGTGGGACAGTTTCATCCTGAAGTTTCATATCCAATGTAGATTACGAGAAGAGAAAGAGAAAGGTGTTTCGTATATTCGTCCGTGAAAGTTTAAAACTAAAGTGTATAAAATCTTTGACATTGTCATAACGTTTTCCCTCAGAGTGAAATTATTTATTAGGTTGATACCGTGTATTAAAGAAATATTTTTACACACCGTTTCCAACACCTGCTTGCTGAGTGTCGTTCTGTGATTTGTACAGTTTGTTGATCAGCACATCAACTGCACGCTTGTTCACGCCAATTCTTCCCAACAGAAACATTTTGTCCCCTAGTCTCTCCCTCCCCTATCTTGCCCATCGTTCTTTGTGCAAGTTGCAAATGAGCAACAGAAAGGGCAAATTGCCATCAATTCTGTGGCGTTTTCTTCACTGATTTATAGGAAACAGATTGGTTCTTAATTGAGTTTTTAACATGAATGAGTGGCGGGGGTTTTGAACTTCAGCTTTCCAATACCTTGTACCGGGGGGGGGAGGGGGGGGGGGGGGGACGTCGATATAAAAAGTGACGGGGTGTGAATCGTCCTACCACTTTTAGGTGTTAAAATTCGCTAGTTTGGTACCCGCTGTATGGGGTGTTAAAATCTAAAATGACCACGCGATAGACAGGGTTATATTGTAATTCCGATTTTGTCTGAGAATTGGTACGGCTCTTTAAGGGGTGAAAAACTTAAACTTGAGCCATGCCCATAGAACGGAGTAACAGAAAAAACGAGATTCTGGTACCTTTTTAGTGGTTCTTCTCAAAAATTCTGACGATCGACCCCTCGTCCACAATCTATATGGGAGTCCCCCCCCCCCCCCCTCCACCACCTACCCCCCCACCTAGGACCTTTGTTTTTTTTACCCTCCTGGTTCCTGGTCCATCCTTGGTGGTTACTGTCTATGTGCTTTTGAAAGTAATAAAAAAAAAAAAAAAAAAACAATGTTTGCAAAAAAAAAAATTCGTATTTATCCTGGTTGCTGCCACCATGAGAATCCCACTTCCCGCCCTACCTGTAGACTTTACACCCCCTTTACTGCCTGGGTCTCATCACCCCTTTATTTGCAGGCTATGTGTCTCAATTATGACCAGACACAGCCGCCTTCCTCCCACCCCAGTCACACACTTCATCAGTATAACCAACTGCATGCAAAAGCAACAAAGCCTATTGCTAATCCCCATAAAAGCAGTCCAGGATGAAAAAAGAAAAACAGGGTCTGGACTTGCGTAAGTTCATAGACTTGTTTTGAAGGTACCAAACTTATTTTGTCGCCACAGTATACCACTGAACAAAGACAAGTATACCAAACAAATCAAAGTTATTTCACGTTTATTTACAAGTCATTTTAAAAGCAATCAGGATTACATTTGACATTTATGAAAGAACGGGTGACTACAGTAACACATGCACAAGAAAACATGATATTCCCAGCATCAAATTTCAAAAGTCCAA